AGGAGAGTGTGTGTGTGTTGGGGGGACACACTCAAGGAAGGAAAGCATCGGACTGTGGGGCGCACCCTGCAACCACAGGAAGGAGGGTGGTGTCCGTGGGAGCCTGTGCAGCTGAGGAACGTCACCACTTACCCATGTGCTGTGATCTCCAGGACATATTTACTGTCAAGTGAGAAATGCAAAGTGGAGACGGGTGATTGGCCCGCCTGCCCCAACAGAGGGCGGGAAGGCATTTGGAAGGTGACTGACTACAGAAAGTGGCCCAGCCAGTGGGTGGCATCGTGGGGACAGAGCCACGCAGACAGGCGCTCTACCGGCAGTGGAGCGCCCGCCCGCCGGCAGCGCCCCTCCAGACGGGCCACCCGTGCTGCTTCCTGCTGCCGCGGCCAATGAGCTCCGACTTCTGCCCCCAAACCAAACGGCAGAAACAAGCATGCAGCAACAGGGATGGACCTGGAGATCACTGTTCTAAGTGAAGTCAGCCAGAAAGAGAAAGAGAAACACCATATGATATCACTCATAAGTGGAATCTAAAAAAAGGAAAAAGAGGGCACTAATGAACTCATCTACACAGCAGAAACAGACCTGCAGACTTAGTAAACAATCTTATGTTACCGGTGGGGGGGAAGAAGGGGGTGAGAAAGGATAAATTTGGAAGTTCGAGATTTGAAAATATTAACTATATATAAAAATAGATTAAAAAACAATTTTTTTCTGTATAGCACAGGGAATTATGTTCAGTATCTTCTAATGACCTTTAATGAAAAAGAATCTATGTATATACATGCATGACTGGGACACTATGCTGTACACCAGAAATTGACACAATTGTAACTGACTATATTTCAATTTAAAAAAAAACAACAAGCGCTGTAAAGCTATCTAAAACAAAAAATCTAGCAAGCATACACAAATACAAGGTAAAACAACCCCTACATTACCAAAAATTTTGGGTTGGGTTTAGACAGCAGAATTTGAAAACCAAAATGAAAACAGCCCTTCTTCAGAGAGTCAGAAGCATCCATCCAGTGCAGAGATTCAGAGCAAGATCAGTGTTTTTGGTCACTAAGCAAATTTCTGGCGCCAGCCGGGGCCACACCACAGGAACGGTGTCCCCGGCAGCTGGGGGACAGCTAACCCACTTGTCTAGTTCATGACAGTTTGAAGGCCACATCTACCCTTAACATCTCCATTTATATTAGTGGGAGCCCACACAGATGCCAAACATATTTTACCACCACCTCCCTTGGAGACACCAAAGTAACCGCCAAGGAGAGGTCAGCGTCCGGAGTCTGGGTGTGACGAGATGGAGTGCAGGGAGCCAGGCACCCCTCTCTTCCACCTTCTGGAGTCCACCCAGGTGGACCTACTGGGAGGCATTACCCCTATTTCCAAAGAGACCAAAGCAACAGTGCAGAATTCCAGGCTGGAGCAGGGCCTGGGGCAGACGGCCCAACACGGTGAGCGTGGCTTCTCGCCAGCACCAGAGGTGACTGACAGGTGAGGGGGGGGGGCAGAGGGACCCAGTGCAAGGAGGGCCGGAGGGAGGGCCACGGGACCTGCAGTGGGATCAGCTGAGCTGCAGGCAGTCTTTTTAGTTGTTTTGCAAGCAGCCATCCACTCATAAGCCGAAGTCTGCTTTAAGATCAACTGACAGCTATTCATAACGTGTTTTCCAGATGCCCAGCGCTGCCCTCCTCACTCAGGGGAGTAAGTACACGGTGTAGAGACCCAGGCTGAGGGGTCAGAAGGGAGGAGACACCAAGGATGTGTGTCAGTGGGGCAGCGAGGCCCAATCCTCACCCACCTACTCAGAGCTGGGGGTCCGTCCACTGTGGGGGCTGGTCCCCCAGGGCTAGGGGGTCTTTGAGAGTCCCAGACGACTCAGAAGGGCGTCCAGGGATAGATAACAGGGGGATTGAAGGGTCTGAGCAGGTAAGGATCTCATCGGTCCGAGATTTCTCTCTTTTCTGAAGGTTTTTTTTTTTTAAGTATTTTTCATTACTATTTTTACTTATTTATTTTTGGGAGGGAGGTAATTAGGTTTATTTATTTATTTACTTTACTGGAGGTACTGAGGACTGAACCCAGGACCTCGTGCATGCTAAGCACCCACTCTACCACTGAGCTCTACCCTCCTCCCGCAATTCTGAAGTGTCTAACACAGGATCACACTCCTTCCAGAAGCAACAAATGTCCAAGTGTCATCCTGGCAACTCCTTTGAGCTGAGAAGAGATAGTAAGTCCTGCCCCTCCAGCTTCAAACTCCTGTGGTTCCATCACTGCATTTTTTTCTTGTGGAGCAGTATATAATTATATTATCGTATTGCATTATCATGTTACATTACATTACGTTACACCGCAATGAGATGTACTAAGATTACTGTATCATCAAGGTTACCCATTTGTAGGTGAGTCACCAGGCAGTGAACCTGACCCATCTGCAGTTATTTCAGGCCAAACAACGAAAAGTCTGCAAGGAAACATTTACTCAAGACCATCAATCACCTGAAAACTAGAGTTTTTTTTAATTGAAGTGTAGTTGATTTACAAGTTAGTTTCACACGTACAGCAAAGGGACTCAGTCATACATGTATATATGTCTATTCTTTTCCATTACAGGTTATTACAAGAGACTGAATCCAGTTCCCTGTGCTGTACAGGGGGCCCTTGTTGGTTATGTATTTTATATATAGCCGTGTGCATCTGTTAGTCCTAATAGGACCCTAGGAGTTTGGGTCCATAATTATTTTCTGCTCATATAAGGAAGTCCTTGACATTTTCTATTTTGTGAAGGAAAAGCTTGTAACAGTTTATCTTATTTCCTAAAAGGGCATCTGGACCAGAAGAGACACCAGCCTTTAAGGAGTCTCTGCCACCAACCTGATCAATCCCATAGGGCGGCCCCGCCCTGCCCCGGGGCCAGTGACCGAGGGGCACCCTCAGGCCCGGACACACATGGACGAGGCTGCGCTTCACATGCGTGTTCAGGAAAAGCCACACGTGACGGGAGCTGTTCTGTAGTAAAAATTTCAATTTCATAAGTGATTACTATTTAAAGGAGTTTTTCCCTCACTTATTTGGTTGTTAAAAATTCACATGTATTTAGGGTGAAGATTCAGCTCTCCCTCAGCTGTTTCTGGGGCGAGGCTGCCCTGGACACTGGCTCCTCGGGGAGCCACCTGCCACTCCCCCTCCCACCACCAGTGCTGCAGGGCAGGGCGGCTGTGCGAGTCACAGGGGGTGGGGCAATGAGGGCCTGGGGGTCCCCTCTCTCTGGAAAGGGTCTCCTGGGAGCAGAGCAGCAGAAGGGAAGCTGGAAGATGTGGGTTTCAACCAGAGGCCGTATCCAACATACTTTGATTTTTGCAGACACAGGTGCGAGGCGGCCAGTTCCGTGGCTCAGCCAGCCCCTACAGGCCCGGCAGTCTGACTGCCATGTGCAGCACAGTGTACGGGGCACCCTGGTCCCGGTCTCTGCAAAACAGGACCCTGCCCCTGCCAAGCTGCTGGGGCCCCAGAGACCAGAGACTGCTTTAAGAAGCAACAGAGCAGGCAGGGAGGGACAGCTCAAGCGGTAAAGCGTGTGCTTAGCATGCATGGGGTCCTGGGTTCAATCCCCAGTACCACTTCTAAAAATAAATAAATAACCTAATTACCCACCCCCCTCAAGAAGCAACAGAGCAAAGACCTCCCTACATGGAGCTAGAAAGGCAATGCAATTCCCACTGAAATCCCAATGCACTTTTTCAATCCATTTGACAAGCTGATTCTAGTCCTTTCAAAGCAGAACCAGGATCCACGAAAAGGCAGCAGGTACTTGAAGACACGAGGTCAGGAACACATCCTGTCAGGTGTCAGGACAGAAGTTAGAGCTATAACGCATAAGACTACGAGTGGGAAGCCAGGGACAGATGCACAGACCAGTGGAACATGGAAGGAAGACAAGAGATGGAGCAGCGTGTCCACTGGAACCTGCAGGGGGACAGAGTGGCCCTGGGGACCAGCAGGGAGAGGCATTGTCCTTCAGCTGTGGAAGGAGGGACAACTGGTCACCCCCCTAGAGAGGGACAAAGAGACTTCCTCCACGTCTCACATGAGACACCAAAGCCAATCCCAGAAGGATTAGAACTGAAAGCAAAACCCACCACGTGTGGATGGAAATACACAAGAACACCTTCATGACTCCTAGGTAGAAAAGGACTTCTTTCAAGAGATACAAAATGTGTTAACCATGAAAAAAAGTGACTATATTCAAACAGAGTATCAGTTTATCAAATACCACCACTACCAGAGTGAAAACTCAAGCCACAGACAGGGAGAGGTGTGTGCATCAAATGTAACACAGAAGATACTCAAATTATAGTACAATGGACACACATCACGAAGGGAGCATTTAACAGCAGTCCTGAGGGAGACGCAGAGCGAGGCCCCTGAGAGCTCCTGTCACACTCACTAGGCCCTCAGTTCAGAGCTGTCAGTTGACATGACCTACAGGGGACAGAGGGACAGGCTAAATGACACCAGAGGAATCAGTGGAGAAAGCGGGTGTCCCACACGTGACTTCTTAGTGATGAGGGGGTCCCAGTGTCTGCTTTATCACGCTTTCCACCACGGCGGGGATGGGGCATGTGCAGCTCTTTAAACATCAAATAACTAAAATTCAGTAAAATGTAAAAATCAGTTCTTCTGTCACACGGAGCCACACTTTTGAGGGCTCAACAGCCTCAGATCTGACCTCTCCATCACAGCCAGCTCTCTGGGGCAGCGGTGCTCTATACCTTATGTGTATGTCACATATGTTCATTTAGATGCAGCAAATAATACATAATAAAACATTCTGATGATGCTCACAGAGTAAACCATTCTTTAACGATGAACTTCATTGCATTTCTGTTTTTCTTTTTTTTAAAGACTTTTCAAATTTTCCAAATTTATTTAATAAAATGGGTTTCAAAATAGAACAAATAGAAAAAACTCAACAGTTTTTAGAACTATATATAGATAAATATAACATCATATGTAGAGAAAAAAATAGAATAGGAACAACAACAAAAAAAGATGACATGATTTGTTGAAGTTTTAAAATCGTATTTCCAAAAAGGAAACAAATGTTTCATTTTAATTTGAAAGTTTTTCTGTTTTTCAATTGTAGCAAACAAATTCAAATTAAAGTCTAAATAGTCATGAAGAAAGAACACTTGCTCCCCTTCCCTCATTAATAATCCCAATAAAACAAGTCTCTGAAGCCTTCCCTCTCCCATCACCCCTGGGCCAGGGCCCGGCAGGACCCGGGCAGGGCTGGGCACTCACCAGGCTCTGCTCGATGAGCAGGCAGAAGAGGACGGCGTTGCCCACCTCCCGCAGGTTCTGGAAGCACACTGTCTTCAGCTCCGCGTACTCAACGATGTCCTTCAACTGGTGGTGGAAGAACTCCAGGATGCCTGTGGTGAGGGAGCGTGAGGCTGGGGTTGGGGGAGGCTGGAGGGGCAGGAGATGCCCCAGGGTGCCGCCTGGGGTCTCCGGCCAGCATTCTCTGACACGGCCACTGTGCCCACCATGGGCATGGCCACCCGTCTCCTGATCCCAGCACCGTCCCTGCAGTGGTGGTCTGTCCACCACAGGCAGAGCTCATGTTACTATGCTTTGCAGACATTGTGCTTTTTGCACATTGAGGGTTTGTGGCAACCCTGCATTGAGCAAGTCTACAGGCACTATTTTTCCAGCAGCATCTGCTCACTGCATGTCTCTTTGTCACACTTTGTAATTCTCGTAGTATTTTTTAAAGTTAAGAAAAATTTTTTAGGGTTTTTCCCCTTATACGTATTTTTGTTTTTATTTTTTATTTGGTTTTGGGGGATTAGATTTATTTATTTCTCTGTTTCTCTATCTGTCTACCTTGATGGCGGTACTGGTGATCGAACGTAGGACCTCGTGCACGCTAAGCTTGCGTTCTACCACTTGAGATATACCCTCCCTTGATTTTTTTTAAACCCTTTTCTATTTTTTTAATTTAAAAATTTTTCAAAAATTTTCCTTTTTCCTTGTTTTTTTGCAGTGGGGAGGTAATTATTTAGTTTGTTTTTCGATGGATGTACTGGGGCTTGAACCCAGGACCTTGTGCACCCTAAGCATGCGCTCTACCCCTGAGCTACACCCACCCCCATTTTAAACTCCTTCATCATTATTTTATTTGTTAGGGTGATCTGTGATCAGTGATCTTGGATGTTACTATGGCAAAAAGGTCACAACTTGCTAAAGGCTCAGGTGATGGTTGGCATGTTTTAGCAACGACGTGTTTTTAATTACAGCGTGTACATTCTTTAAGACATAATGCTGTTGCGCACTTAACAGACTACAGTCAAGCGTAAACATAATTGGACACACCCTGGGAAACCAAACAGTTCCTGTGGCTCGCTTCTTTGCGGCGGTCTGGAACCAAACCCGCCATGACTCCCAGCTTTGCCTGTATCTTCCGAGGAGGCATCATGCCCAGCAGAGGTAGGAAAGGTATTGGATAAAACTCACTTCACAGGCACAGAGGGGAGTGGCTTAATCCGATAAAGGACTAAGCCAAAGCCCTGCAGCTAAACGCCTACTCCATGGTGACACCCGCACGGCTTCCCCCAGGGCTCCCGAGCCCTGGACGTTGTGATGTGGCAGCAAAAGACACAAGACACAAAGCCTGGACAAAGAGTCAGTGTTCCCTGACTCAATCCTGCACTCAACGCTGACCCAATCAGAACCCCCGAGCTGACTCCGGAGTGGACAGTCACACAGAAGACGTGGGAAAGCCAAAAAACCAGAGAGGGACAAAACTGGAGACTTAAGAGATTTCAAACCCCTCATCCCAGTGGGTCAGCCCTGGGTGCTGACCCACAAGCACCCATGGCCCTGCCTGCCTGAGAGGCCGTCCCTTCCTCTCGTGGTCCACACCCCACACCACCCGCCCCTCAGGTCTCCACATCACCCAGCGTGAGCTCGGACCCTCCCGGGGGGGGATGTTCCTCCACACGTGTAGCCCCAGCAGACACTAAAGAGCAGGGCACCGCCAGCAACACAGCATCATCCATGCAAGGTGCACAAGGTGCCACGCGCCCGGCCACCCAGTGCGGCGAGGACGTGTGGGGAGCGGCCCTGAAGTCCACAGCTCTGCCCCACACCAGCTCTGGATTTGGCCTAAATGGCTTCATCTCCAACATTAAAAATGCCCCCCTCTGGCCAGGATCTGAGCACCACTTTTATGACCCCAGCGTTACCCATCTACTTCTGACCATGGACTCAGGCTCCTGAGCCAGGCTCACCGACAGTCTTTCCCTCCCCAGTGGCCGAATGGGTCACCTCGCCATCTCCCAAGACACCAGTGACAGCCCCGGGGGCTCAGCCTCACCAGCCGACTGCCCATAAGAGCACTCTCCCATGGGTGCTCCACACGTGGGCCCAAGTCACTTAGCAAGGCAGTCGTCCAGCTCTCAGGGAAGTATTAATGGATATGAGATAAAAGGCAGTTTTGTACAAGACAAGGGCTCCTGCAGTCCCATTTTATCATGGACAATGCTGCCTGAGATCACGAAGGCTCTGTTTGTGTGCAGAGCCCCAAACCAGTGCTGGTCAGGCCTTGCAGGGCTGCACCCCACAGGGCACCCCTGCCCCAGGGCCCTATAGCCGGCCAGCCAATGTGATAGACGGGCTGCACCCTGCGTGGAGCTGCCCCCAGGCCTGGGCCGGTCAAGCCCGGCGGGCAGCTGGACCTGGCAGTCGAGCTCCCCGCCCTTCCCTGGTCAGTGATGTTCAAGATCCGGGTGTTGCAGGAGAGATGGAGGTGTGCAGGGTTCAGAGCCCTGTCACCCCCGCCCCACAACTCCCACACACCCTCCCGCAGCCTGCTCCTGGCTGAAAGGCTGCAGACACTCAGGCTCTGGTTGGCCCCCACCTCCTCCCGGCGGGGAAAGCAGATGGCAGCCTTGTCAGTGACCGCCCACTCGGTTTCCCTCCCCGAGGCCGGGCTGACACTGCCCCCGCCCCCCGTGCACCCAGGGAGGCACCGTGCTCACCGGGGGAGCCGTACTCGTGCCGAGGCAGCCGGCAGACCTTGGGCATCACCTCCATCAGCGTCTTCACGTACTGCAGGATCGTGCCTTGCAGCTGAGGGAGAGGGGCCGTGTCAGCCACCAGCCCCTACTGCCCCGCGGGCCAAGGTGTGACGGGGACTTGGGAAAAGGAGTCTGTTCACATAAAACGCACTGTGATGACCCAGGACCGAGAATCACTGGCTGGAAAGGAAAGCACCCCCCCGAGGAAGCAGGTGCAGAATCCTTCCCCAGGAAGGCCGCACACCAGACGGGCACATACCAGGCTCTTGACCACCTTCAGCAGCTCCTCCATGACCACCGCGATGCCCTGGTAGCCCAGCAGCCGGCAGATGACCTGGAAGTGCGGGGGCCCCACGAAGTTGCGGTAGCTGCCATAAATGCTCGAGTAGGCCAGGTTCAAAGCCTGGGGACAGAGAACGTCAGTGCTTGATGAAGTCTTGGGGGTTTCAAAGCAGCCCCTACACACACGTGAAGAGGAGGAATTGCTTGGCAAAGTGCATCAGTACACAGGGCCCTCGGGTGTAAGGATCCGGAGCACCTGTTAGACCACCCTTCCTGGTATCTGTGTTTTCAACCTGAAGATGTGAAAACAAGCTTGCTAAAACAGAAGCAAACGAAGCCATTTGGTTTTCAGCATTTAATAAACTGCTGGTCCCACAAAAAGCATTTTGAGGTCCTGCAAGGAGAAATGAATGTATCTTAGAGCCTCACTGCTGCCCCTATGGAACTGCTCCCAGTCTCCGGAGGGAGACATCCAGGACAGACTCTGATGGGGTAGGGGGAGCTGCATGCTCAGGATGCACAGGGAGTGGGGACAGCAGGCCCCACAGGGTGGGCTGGCAGGAAAGGTAGTCAGGGTGGCTTCCTGTAAGAGGGGACCTCCAAGCTTGTCTAAGGACATGGGCACACGCTCTGCACGGAGACTCCTAATGCAAGCATTCAGTGCTATGCATTTCCCTCGCACACTTCTTTAGCTGTGCCCCGCAAATTCTGACGTATTTGCATTTCATTTAGTTCAATGTCTTTTTAAAAATTTCCCTTGAGACTTCCTCTTGCCCCAAGGATCATTTAGAAATGTGTTCATCTGCAAGTGTTCGGAGATTTTCTCGTCATCTTTTTGTTACTGATTCCTAGTTTGAGTTCACTGTGGTCAGATAACACACTGTCATATTTCAATTCTTTTAATTGTGTTGTGGTCTGTCCTAAGATATGGTCTATCTTGGAGGACGCGCCACGGGCGCTTAAAAAGAGTGTGTGCTCTGCTGCTGCTGGGTGAAGCGCTCTGACATGTCAACAATAATCAACCTGCTGGCTGATGGTGTTTAGCTGTTTTCGTTGCTGACTTTCTGTACTGACTCTTTCAATTACTAGGTGAGAGGAAGGCTGACTTCCCCAACTACAACTGTGCAGTTGTTCATTTCTCCTCTCACTTACGACAGTTTTTAGTCCAAGTGTTTTGAAACTCTGTTGTTTGGTGCATAAACATTCAGGTCTGCTGTATTTTCTTGGTGGCTTGATCTTTTTATCATTATGTAATGTCCCTTCTTGTCCCTGGTAATATTCTTGGCTCTGAAATCTACTTTATCTTACATTCATACAGTTGCTCCCGCTTCCTTCCTTTCTTTTCTTTCTTTATTGGGAAGGAGGTAATTATTAATTAATTAATCAATGAATCAATTAATTAAATGGAGGCACTGGGGATTGAACCCAGGACCTCACGCAGGCTAAGCACGTGCTCTACCAGTGAGCTCTACCCTCTCCCCCACTCCTGCTTTTTTTTGATTAATGTCTGCATGATCCATCTTTTTCCACCCTTCTATTTCCAACCTACGTGTATCATTAACTTGAAGTGAGCTTCTTATACAGTCATGTTTTTAATCCACTCTACCCATCTCTACCTTGTAACTGTCTTCAGACCACTGGCATTTAATATATTTACACACAAAGTAATTACTGATAGTTAAGTAGGCTCTGTTTCATCCTTCCTGCGGGTCACTTCAGCATGCCTGAGAATTCCACCGTGATTTACCTGTGGTATTTCTGAGAGCACCCCTTGCACAGGTCTGTCAGGGTCAAGGTCTGACATCACACATCACATACGTCACCACAATCTACCGCTATCAGCATGCTACCACTTTAAGTGCAGGGACCACTAGGACCTCCTTTTAGGTCCCTGTATCTTCCCTTCTTCCCCCTTTATAACTGCCTTAAACATTTCCTCTACATACACAGAGAGCCACATCAGGACAGCAAGGTTATAAAAACGGCACAGCAGGCCTGGCTGCTCAGCTCCAACACGCCAGCCTGCAACTCCTGGGAACTCAGCCCTCGGACTGTTGCCTGTGTTACCGACTGACAGCTGTTTTCTATTCCCGGGGCACAGCCATGCCGTCCAAGCTTGTCTACACTGTTCACAGACACAGTGATTTAGGAGGTGCTCCTCCTCTCCTTCCGGGGGTTCTGGGGTTTCGGTGATGGGGGCCGGTCACACAGGTGGCCGTGCCTCTGCCCCAGCCCCAGTGAAGCCTCGGCCCCGGGTGTTCTGTGGGCTCCTCTTTCCTGGGCGGGGACACTCTGCATCCCAGGCCCCATGCGCCCCCACGAGGGACCACAGGAAGCCTGCGCCCACTTCCATCACCACCTTTGCATCTTTTCCCCTCCCTGATCCTGTTCTGTGTCCTTCTGTCATAATAAACTCAGCTGCGAGTCCGTCTGGAGAATTACCAAACGTGGGGGTGGTCCTGGGACTCTCACAACACAAAGTCTGAGTCTAAACCAATGATCAGATGCCAGACTGACCACGGTGGAAACACTGTCAAACACCTATCCCACACCCACGCCTACGACCCTATCAGACTCGAAAGGACCATGTCCTGATCGTGGGCTCAGACACAACCTCCTCCCCGTCCCTCCTCAAAGCACAGCGGTGCTTTCAATGCTGGGATTCTGGGGGAGGTTTTTCTTGGTAGTAAGTTGTAATGCTAAAAAAAAGCCATGAGTGAAATCAAACGGCCTCGTGTTACAAGTGAGAAACTTCACTCCCAAAGCCACCCTCGACGTGCCTGGGACCTGGGGCTCAGTGACACCTAATCTCCGCTCCCCGTGACCAGTGCTTGGCTTCCTGGTGACCTCAGTCACCCCAAGGAGGGCACATCCCAGGGACAACAAAACTAGAGCGATGTCACTACTGAGAGGGAGGGGAGGGGGCACTGCCTCTGGAGAGGGCAAAATTCTAAAACCTCCGCTGTAAACCACTCAGACCCGGAGGGGAGCCCCCCAGCTCAGCTCAAGAAACACTGCTGGCCACGCCCGATGCCTCACCTGGAAACCAGAGGACGCGGGCTCCAGACTCACTAGTCACCTGCCCTGGGTTCTCTAACGCCCCGCCACTGTGCGTCTTCAGCTGGGAAGTGCGGACACTCTTACAGGAAAGAGCGCCAGTGACCTGCTCCAGCGTGCTCACTCAGAGCGGTGCCACTACCAGGAACTAACCAGACATCATCGTAAGGGGGCACTCAGCTAAGTCGGAACTTGAGACACGAGCCCAAGCTCACCACTCCCAGCAAAAGAACGATCGGATTCCCGTGCATCCCACAGCCTCACAGCGGCAAGCACCTTACGTGCGCGGCGCACCTCGCGCCGCAGAGACGGCGCCTTCTCACGAGGAGCACGGCTCAGCTCCACGGCACTGGGCTTTGGCATTTCGCCTCTTTCTGATCTTCAAAAGAAGTGTCATGTAAGAGGAACAGCCAACATCAGCATTGTTCATGCAAACTTGTTAGACTTTTTTATGAGTCCAAACACTCTAATAAAAAGTCCTGGTTCAGGCTGTGAGAATACAAATAACACAAACGTAATTTCTCAAACAGGCTGAAATCCTACAGTCAAGTTCAGTCACTACTGGTTGCTTTAAAAAGAATAATTTATTCTTTCCTCCCCCCCACCCCAGGTGGACACCTGCTTTGCAGGCGGCCTGCAGCACCCACCATGGACACGGAAGGTGGGAAGGGGGACCCCCGGCGCCTCAGGACCCCGTGGGCTCACGGCTTTGTCGCACAGAAGTGGAAACGCTGCTGCCTCCGTGTGCGAGCGCTCCCGGAGGGAATGCTGCCGAGGGGCCTTCACCCCATGGTGGCCAGCAGTGCCAGGCTAGGGAGCCTCTCTCAGAACCACCCCATGGGCCTCTCCCCGGGACTGCATCCTTCCAGAGACCTGGAAGAGGCCGGCCAGAGGCTGTGCAGACCCAGGGAAACCAGCACATCCTTCCCTGAGGGCATCCCCTTCTCGGGACCATCCTGTTTGGAGGCTGACTTCTTTGCGCCCCATGACCTGTCGGCAGGGTCTGCGTGCTCCTTTTCAGTGATGGCACTGCATCCCCTGGACAGAACCTTGTTCTACTGCTTTTGGTGGCCTGTGAGTTTGCCGCCATTTTTTTATGAGGATGTTGTGTATCATGCTGGTAACAGACCTTACTTTGTACTTGAGTGATTTATTTCCTCAGGGGTCCGGCTTCCCACCAGTGAGAGCATTTAAATAATGGTGAGCGCTGGCAGATGGCCGCCCCGAATCACACGGTCTCACGTGCACTCCTGCGGCCACACTTAATGCAGTTTCCCGCCCCCAGCCTTCTCTGATCTGAGAGGCAAAATTCCTCTCACTGCTGTCATATCTTTTTCTTCAATCACTGGTGAGGCTGGGACCTATTTTTATTTTTCTGCTACATTTTTGGGAAAGGTCTGCTCATTGCATCTGGCTCTTTTCTTTTTTAACCAGAGTGTCTCTCATCGAATTGTAAGAGTGCTTTAAATATTCACAATACTAATGCTTAATAACGTCCCTGCCGCTGCATACCTGGCCGCCGTCGGCCCGGACACGTGCCTCATCTCAGGAGCCAGTGGGCTTCCTGTGCCCGCTTGCCTGTGGTCTCTCGGTGTCAGCTATTTCCCATGTGCCCCCTCCCACCTCAGCTCCTCCCTTCAAAGTGTCACACCTGGCCGGGCCCCCTGCCCCTCTGTCACAAATGTGCCCCCAAGCCTCTTCCACACACTTTCTTGGCTTGATGTTCTGAATTCTTTAAATCTGCCAATCATCTCACTTCCATTGGTGCCGGCGGTCAGGCTGGGTCCAGCCGACACCCACTCCGTGGCCAGAAGGCTGCCCAGCACCACATTACTTGTCAGAAAGGGGCCAATAGAAGGGAACTGTGACGTTTTATACGTGGCGTGATACATTTAAATTACTGCAACTAAACTGATTCAAACTAAACTTCAAAATACAAACACAAAAGAACTTACCTTTGATCCGTGCAAATACTGGGGTTGTGCATTTGGCTGTTTATCTCTTTGAAATTCTTGAGAAAATGGTAATACTGTCCGAACAAATCTAGACAGAAAGATTAAAAGAAAAAAAAGAAGAAGAAAGAAAGAAAACCAAAAGTTTAATGGTAGTTCTTTACAATTCAAAACTTCCCTATCACTCATCAATTAAAGCTTCCTCCCAATTAACTGATGTAATTATCACGTAGGAAACTTCTGAGACACAAGTACTCTGAAGTATGAGAAATGTATCCAAAGCTGAGGAACGGAGTGAGAACACCAGGGCCATCCAGCACATAAACAGTCTCTAAACTTGGCACCAGAACCACCTCAAGCCTAATTCAGTCCTTTGCCAACTGGGAACGACCAGGCACTCGGGCCTGGCTGGGCCTCTGCACACTGCAATGATGCGGGCACTGGAGCAGGAAGGCAGACTGGGGCAGTGACACGGTCACTCAGGTCACTGCTTACATGCTAATAGGAGGTGAGTCTATAAGCACACTTGCTGGGCCAAGAGACTGTGGCTTCCTGACAGAGTAGAAGCCACTGAAAATCAAATGCTTGGATCTTAAAGCAGAAACATCAAAATCTGCTAACACTTTCAAATCAGAAGGGTTCGTTTAAACATATAAAACTTTTGCAAAGAAGCACGATTAAAAAAATATGAAAGGAACCCTCCCACACTGTTGGTGGGAATTCAGTTTGGTGCAGCCACTATGGAAAATGGTAATGGAGATTCCTTAAAAAACTAAAAATAAAGCTACCACATGACCCAGCAATCCCATTCCTGGGCATATATCTGAAGAAAACTCTAACTCAAAAAGACACATGCACCCCAGTGTTCACAGCAGCACTATTTACAATAGCCAAGACATGGAAGCAACCTAAATGCCATCAACAATGACTGGATAGAGAAACTGTGCTATATCTATATAATGGAAAACTACTCAGCCATAAAAGTGAATCAATTAATGCCACTTGCAGCAACATGGATGGACCTAGAGATCATCATTCTAAGTGAAGTTAGACAGAGAAAGACAAATATCATATGATACCACTTGCACATGGAATCAAAAAAACCCCAATACAAATGAACTTATGTATAAAACAGAAACAGACTCACAGACATAGAAAACAAACTATGGTTACCCAAGGGGAAGTGGGGAGAGGGCTAATTGGGAGTTTGGGATTAGCAGATACTAACTACTATATGTAAAATAGGTAACAAAAAGGCCTCACTGTATAATACAGGGAACTATATTCAGTATCTTAGAATAACCTACAATAGAAAAGAATCTGAAAAGGAACAGGCAAATACATATATATATATGACTGAATCACTATGCTGTACACGCGAAACTAGCACAACATGGCAAAACAACTATGCGTCGATTACAAAAACACAGATTTGCTCATTACTAAATTCTAAGAACTTGATTAACACATATTGCACTTTAAGAAATTAACAAAGGATGTAACTGTCAAAACAACACCAGCGCATGAAATGAACATGCGCATCTGAGGGGAGGGCAGCGCAGCACTGAGCACGTTTGCACAGAAGCGGCATGCTGCTGAGTGGCTGGATTTTGTCATTGTCCTTCAAAGAGTGTTGTGTTTGTGGGCAGATGGTTAAATTGCTTGCAAGCCAGCTGGATCCTTTCGTGACCTGTCAGGGTGTGCGGCAGTCACTCCCCGAGGGCTGGTACTGAGACAGGCCCTTCTGGCAACTCTCTCGAGTGCCCGTGTGCTCAGTGAGGTTTCTCCGTTCTTGCAGGCAAGGCCCAGCGAGCTCTGGGAACTGTTCCATCTACAGCAGCTGCTCTTGTGCACGGAGTTTAAAATTCAAGCAAAGACTGAAAAGGGCCCCTAAGTTGGTCTCAGGAGCTGTTTCTCTGCCTACCTCTCTCCTCTCCCATAATCTGCCTTGCAAATTCCAGCCGTCTCGGCTTCCTCGATTTCCAATCCGTCTCCTCCACGGAGCAAGATGTCCAAAGTGCTTCCAGGCAGAAAGCCAGGGAAGTCAGAGTCCATACCCCTTGTTTCCTTTCCCTCAGGGGAACATCCAGTGAAAACAGTTGCTTCATGAATTGTGTCCAGATTCCCACTTGTCTGAGGCAAAAAAGTAAATCCAAACTCTGATATTCCATTATCCTAAGCAACTTTATCATTAAAATTTGGGGGGGGGAGTTATTAGGTTTATTTATTTTTTTAACGGAGGCACTGGGATTGAACCCAGGACCTCGTGCATGCTAAGCATGTGCTCTACCCCTGAGCTACACCCTCCTCTCTCCCCATAAACAACTGTTAAACACCATGTTTTGACCATATGTATTTCTCAATCTAAAGACAGAAAAAAAAAAGGAAACAAATATTGAATGCCAGTTAGTAGGTTTGCATTTTGAAGTGGGTAGGGTCAGTAATTCTGAAGCTACTTTCTGCACGTTCTAGAACTGAGCAAATGAGGGAATACACTAAGAAGATGAAACAAGAATCCTCAGTGTAGAAAGAAGTTACAAGAATGGAACCGAAGCCTGCGGTGCTGAGCAGAAATTGACAACCGCAGTGTGAATTCACGGCTTTAACGCAGACAGCTGGACAGAAGGAGGCACGTGTAAACATGAGGGGTTTAGCTGTGTCCCCACAAAACAGAACTTGCAGCCCTAACTATCAGTCTCTCAGAATGCGCTCTTATTCAGAGACAGGGTTGTTGCAGATTAGTCAAGATGAAGTCATTCTGGAGCAGAGTGTGCCCTTAACCCAGTATAGCAGGGCTCACATCCTCACAGGAAGAGGACGGAGACGCAGAAGGAAAACGCCACGTACCGACAGAGACAGAGACAGGCTGGAGGGATGTGGCTGCAGGCCGGGGACGGCTGGCCACACCACTAGTGGGAAGAGTCAAGAGAAGTCCTTTCCCTGAGTCCCAGAGGGGCCAGAGGCAAGGACATACCTAACACCCAGGCTTGGCTTAATTTTAAAATATTCTGCATTAAAAGGAGTCCTGGTGAATCACAGATTTCAAGGATAAGGTAGGAGAATTCCAAGATGAACCTGGAAGCTCCTGTGATGCAGAAGGCAGGGCAGGGCTGCAGAGCCCTGGGGACCGCCCAGAAGACAGAGGCGAGGTGGGAGGGGATCCCACTGGCCAAAACACAGTCGACTCGAGCCACAAAATCAATTCACGCCAGTAACAGATCATAACCCTGCTTTGGGATCCCTGAGTCCTCACTCACAATAAATAAAGAAATAAATAAGCACGACCAAGCACACACAGCAGAATGCCAACTACTGCCTGTAGGTGGAAGGAAAAGGCTCCCACATCACCACCGTTCAGCCGCCGCAGTGAGAACTGCTTTGGGTGAGAATCACCAACAGGTGCTGAAATCAGTGGGTCAAGTTTTAACAAGGAACAGCTTATTTAAAGTCTCAAATTATCTCCTTATAAATTACTTACCAACTTCAAACAGAAAAATGGTATCATGCCAGTGGAGAAACTTGGCAGCCACCTCCCTGAGCACGGCCAGTGGTGGGACAGCCTCGCGGAGCACCACACCCCACTCAGGGCACACCCTCCTTCGGTGCTGTTCCAGCCAGAGGCCCGACTCTGAGCCCAGCTGCTGGCTTACTGCCAAGGCTACAGCACTGTCGCAGTGAGCAGCTGTGCAGGTTACACTGAAGTCACAGGCCACCTAAGCGCCCTTCCAGAGTCACCAGGCACAACTCATGCATCAGAAATAAGCAGCAAAATAAGCAGATAAGTCAGACGACAAAGGCAGTCCTGGGATCCTGCAAGCAGCTCCCGGGAAACCCTGAGGCAGGAATTAAAACACCAGGCGCACACTGCGGTTCTCACCCTGGACACACAAAACGCCTTTTCCAGGTAATGAAGCATTAAGGGTTCCCCCAAAGACACGCTAAAAATACAGAATGGCTCTTGCTGGCACTGATGCAAAGGAGAGGCCCCCAGCGCTGCTCCGGTGTATGCCTGCCCTAACTGCACCCCAGGTCTCTGGGCGTCAGGAGGCTGAGGTTGTATCATGCTGGTCCCAGCCAGCACACGTGCCAAGCTCGCAGCTCGGACACACGTGACATTGGGTTCCCGAGCGATCGCCTGGCCTCCAGGCACCTGGGCTTTGGGCTGGCTCTGCAGACCCGCCCACGGGCTCCCAGCGCAGCACCAGGCGAAGGCAGCCTTCTGCTCACCGACATTCACGTTAGATACCATGTTGGGAACCGAAGGCAGAGGTCCTGACCTGACTCCTGGTCACCTCGGCTCTGACATTGGGGCTTCTGCCGCCAGCAGGACAAGTGGCCCTGGACGGCAGGCTGTTCCCTAGCAGCAGCCGCAACTGGGGTGAGGGCACCCACGTAGGCCCAGCTCAGAGGGTGGAACCTCAGAATCTCTTCCCCCAGCTGCACACTCCTCACCCAGATGCCAGTTCTAAGCTCTGGGCAAAAATGATTTAAGAGACGTAACAGAAGTTCATTCTAAAGGTTCCAAATGGACTACCAAAGTACCAAAGTTACCAAAGTAACGAAAATCTTGCAAACATTGGCCATAACTTAAACAGATTTTCAGAAGTATAAGCACATATACACCCTCGCTAACACAGTGTGCTCTTCTCCAAGATCTATGACGTGGAGAAACAATGTGTATTTAACAGTGTGCCCAGTAACAACCATTTCTGCAAGATAAAAAATGTACATTATATTTGACCGTATGGCAAAAACTCTAGAAAACATTTTTACAATGGAAATCATTAGGAATTTAATTATTTCCATGTATATAAATATATATGTGATATCTAGCTTTTCTACAATTATGAAGCATTACTTGTATAATAAAAATATTTTTTCAGTTAATTCTGTAACAACTTGAAAAATACCTATTTCAAGAAAGTGGGCACTGAAAAGAGAGTTGACAGGGATGGGTGGTCACTCAAGTTTGGTTCCGGTGGCTTGTACCCAGCCAGCCATGGGGACCCCTGACCCAAGGAGGGGGACCCAGCACGTGTCTCCTCTGCTGCCAGGGGCCTGGCCAGTGGCTCTGAGGCACAGCTCCACACACCAGGAACAGGTCTGCCTCCCCACCAGAAAACGAACGCTTGGTCCCAGACAGACGAGGGCAGCAGTAGGTATGATCAGGCTGCAGAAGGGCCTCCCTTCTGCCCTCAGGTTCAAAGCTCAGTCCCTCTGGATCAAGGCACAAAAATCTAGGCCTAGATATCAGCCATGATTAAGCCAACACGCGGTGGGATGTTGAGATGCAGTAATGAAGCAAAGTAAAAGCCAAAGACACTTTGAAGCAGTGGTGATGACACTCACAAAGATGCTCACATACACACACACACTGTCTCTTACACACCCACCATCACTCATATTCCCCCACTTCTCTATTACTCACTCACACACACTCTCTTACATACATGCACACTCCTGCGTGTCCCTGGCGTGTGCTGACACAGAACAGGGCGCAGGGAGGACGAGCCTCAGGCAGGTGGATGCTCAGAGAGCAGGGGCCGCCCCAGGGCCACCCCAGGACGTGGGCCGCTTCACGAGGCGGGACCGCACGACCCTGTGGCCAGCAGCCATGCCACCCACCCAGTGGGCTGCTTTGCGCTGCTCAGTAGAGGAGTAAAATGGTAGGTGGCTGACCAGCTGACCCTCATGTACCCCAACATCTCAGAGTAGAACCACAAAAAGAGAGGCGCCCAGCACGTTCCACCGTCTGCAGACTTCAAAGTGCAGACCCGGCAGCCCGCCGTACCG